GGTTTAGTGGCATGGTCTCTTTGTGTGTTATATGACATGTGACCCATCGTCAGCCCAGAAGATACCCCCATGGGGACATGGCTAGCCTTTCATGTGAGTGCATAAAAGACCTAGAGCACTAACCCCCCTGTTTTCTATATAACAGGATTGTCTGCCAGGTTATGCAGCTGAGACAGCGATAAATCATTTCTTCATTACATCCTTGGGCCAGAAAGGAGTAGGATTCCCCAGTGACTCACAAAGACATGAATTGGAACCTGCTTACAACTTACTATGAAACAGCTGACTGCATTGTCTGATAACTCTCCATGTACCTGATCCGGCTCTTCTCCTCCAACTGGGATTAATAGCCAGCCGACCGTTCAGTCCGTGAACGCATTTTGTTGACAGATGTGAATATCTGCTGTTCACCAAAATCCCTTGTACTCCTGCAGGTAGACCATTGACACAAATGTTTTATATGTATGCTTCAAGTGCTTTAAACAATCAGATATTAGCTTTGATTCAAGGGGCTGTGGAAGGGCGAATGCACAATTTTCACTGTGGTTTTTGCTGACCAAATGTTGGAATATTGCCAGGAGTATAGAGGAACACAGACAGAAAGAGAGTTTTGTAGTACTAGCTTTTCTACACAGCATGTGCTGTTCATTTCTTGTGAAGTACACTGAGAGAGGACCTCAGAATGAACAGGCTGCATGCCATCCAATCTTAGAACAGCTCCGCTTGCACATTATTGGCTAACCTCGATGTGACTATCTAGGTTGAGTATTACTGCTGGGGACAAGGGAAGTAGAATTTATGTGCAGCAACGGACACATGTAGAGCATTATGCAGAAAGTATAAACCAAAAAACAATGATTTAAACACTCTGGCAACAATGTTAATCATTGTGTATATATATATACATCGAACGTTTGGGCACCCCAGCTAAAAATTTGTATTAATGTGCATAAAGAAGCCAAGGAAAGATGGAAAAATCTCCAAAAGGCATCAAATTACAGATTAGACATTCTTATAATATGTCAACAAAAGTTAGATTTTATTTCCATCATTTACACTTTCAAAATAACAGAAAACAAAAAAATGGCGTCTGCAAAAGTTTGGGCACCCTGCAGAATTTATAGCATGCACTGCCCCCTTTGCCAAGCTGAGACCTGCCAGTGTCATGGATTGTTCTCAATCATCGTCTGGGAAGACCAGGTGATGTCAATCTCAAAGGTTTTAAATGCCCAGACTCATCTGACCTTGCCCCAACAATCAGCACCATGGGTTCTTCTAAGCAGTTGTCTAGAAAACTGAAACTGAAAATAGTTGACGCTCACAAAGCTGGAGAAGGCTATAAGAAGATAGCAAAGCGTTTTCAGATGTCAATATCCTCTGTTCGGAATGTAATTAAGAAATGGCAGTCATCAGGAACAGTGGAAGGTAAAGCAAGATCTGGAAGACCAAGAAAAATATCAGACAGAACAGCTCGCAGGATTGTGAGAAAAACAATTCAAAACCCACGTTTGACTGCACGATCCCTCCAGAAAGATCTGGCAGACACTGGAGTTGTGAAACACTATTCCACTATAAAAGAGATACTTGTACAAATATGGTCTTCATGGAAGAGTCATCAGAAGAAAACCTCTTCTATGTCCTCACCACAAAAATCATCGTTTGAACTTTGCAAATGAACATATAGACAAGCCTGATGCATTTTGGAAACAAGTTCTGTGGACCGATGAGGTTAAAATTTAACTTTTTGGCCGGAATGAGCAAAGGTACGTTTGGAGAAGAAGGGCACAGAATTTAATGAAAAGAACCTCTGTCCAACTGTTAAGCATGGGGTTGGATCAATCATGCTTTGGGGTTGTGTTGCAGCCAGTGGCACAGGGAACATCTCACGAGTAGAAGGAAAAATGGAATTCAATAAAATTTCAGCAAATTTTGGGCCGTGGTTATGGTAACTTGATGCCATCTGTGAAAAAAACTGAAGTTAAAGAGAGGATGGCTTCTACAAATGGATAATGATCCTAAACACACCTCGAAATCCACGGGGGATTACATCAAGAGGCGTAAACTGAAGGTTTTGCCACGGCCTTCACAATCTCCTAACCTCAACATAATTGAAAATCTATGGATAGACCTTAAAAGAGCAGTGCGTGACAGACAGCCCAGAAATCTCAAAGAACTGGAAGACTTTTGTAAGGAAGAATGGGCAAAGATACCTCAAAGAAGAATTGAAAGACTCTTGGCTGGCTACAAAAAGCGTTTACAAGCTGTGATACTTGCCAAAGGGGGGCAGTACAAGATATTAACTCTGCAGGGTGCCCAAACTTTTGCAGATGCCATTTTTTTGTTTTCTGTTATTTTGAAAGTGTAAATGATGGAAATAAAATCTAACTTTTGTTGACATATTATAAGAATGTCTAATCTGTAATTTGATGCCTTTTGGAGATTTTTCCATCTTTCCTTGGCTTCTTTAGCACATTAATAAAAATTTTTAGCTGGGGTGCCCAAACTTTCGATCCCCACTGTATATATATATATATATATACAGTCATGGCAGAAATTGTTGGCACCCTTGATATTTTTCCTGAAAATCATGTATTTCTCACGAAACGTATTGCATTAACACATGTTTTGCTATACACATGTTTATTCCCTTTGTGTGTATTGGGACAAAACAAAAAAAGGGAGGAAAGAAAGCAAATTCGACATAATGTCACACAAACCTCCAAAAATGGGCTGGACAAAAGTATTGGCACCCTTTCACAACTGCGGATAAATAAGAATGTTACAAGCATGTGATGCTCCTGTAAACTCACCTGGGGCAAGTAACAGGTGTGGGCAATATAGAAATCACACCTGAAAGCAGATAAAAAGGAGAGACGTTCACTTAACCTTTGCATTGTGTGTCTGTCTGTGCCACACTAAGCATGGACAACAGAAAGAGGAGACGAGAACTGTCTGAGGACCTGAGAACCAAAATTGTGGCAAAATATCAACAATCTCAAGGTTACAAGTCCATCTCCAGAGAACTAGATTTGCCTTTGTCCACAGTGCGCAACATTATCAAGAAGTTTGCAACCCATGGCACTGTAGCTAATCTCCCTGGTCGTGGACGGATGAGGAAAATTGATGAAAGATTGCAACGCAGAATAGTCCGGATGGTGGATAAGCAGCCCCAAACATGTTCCAAAGACATTCAAGCTGTCCTGCAGGCTCAGGGAGCATCAGTGTCAGCGCGAACTATCCGTCGACATTTAAATGAAATGAAACGCTATGGCAGGAGACCCAGGAGGACCCCACTGCTGACACAGAGACATAAAAAAGCAAGACTACAGTTTGCCAAAATGTACTTGAGTAAGCCAAAAGCCTTCTGGGAAAACGTCTTGTGGACAGATGAGACCAAGATAGAGCTTTTCGGTAAAGCACATCATTCTACTGTTTACCGAAAACGGAATGAGGCCTACAAAGAACAAAACACAGTACCTACGGTAAAATATGGTGGAGGTTCAATGATGTTTTGGGGTTGTTTTGCTGCCTCTGGCACTGGGTGCCTTGACTGTGTGCAAGGCATCATGAAATCTGAGGATTACCAAAGGATTTTGGGTCGCACTGTAGGGCCCAGTGTCAGAAAGCTGGGGTTTGCGTCCAAGATCCTGGGTCTTCCAGCAGGACAATGACCCCAAACATACGTCAAAAAGCACTCAGAAATGGATGGCAAAGAAGCGCTGGAGAGTTCTGAAGTGGCCAGCAATGAGCCCAGATCTAAATCCCATTGAACACCTGTGGAGAGATCTTAAAATTGCTGTTGGGAAAAGGTGTCCTTCCAATAAGAGAGACCTGGAGCTGTTTGCAAAGGAAGAGTGGTCCAAAATTCCGGGTGAGAGGTGTCAGAAGCTTATTGATGGTTATAGGGTGATTTCAGTTATGTTTTCCAAAGGGTGTGCAACCAAAATATTAAGTTAAGGGTGCCAATACTTTTGTCCAGCCCATTTTTTGGGGGTTTTGTGTGACATTATGTCATATTTGCTTTTCTGCCTCTGTTTTATATTTGTTCCAATACATACAAAGGGAATAAAACATGTGTATAGCAAAACATGTGTTAATGCAATACCTTTTTTGTGTGAAATACTTGATTTTCAGGAAAAATATCAAGGGTGCCAACAATTTCGGCCATGACTGTATATATATATATATATATCTGTTCAGTTATATCCGGCTCTCAGTGATGCTATGGGCCAGCTCTCTTGGCGCAATGTCTGATTGGCTTGAAAGCTTTTTATATTGCGTTTTCTTGGCAAATTTTTTACAATGTTTTTCCTCAACCCTTCCCCATTGCTCGGTTTCGGACTAGCATGCAGTATGTGATAACACATAGCCAATTTGTACACCTATACTGGGGGCAATTAACCTACTGGTCTTTGGAGTGCAGAAGGAAACTCACACAAGCAAAGGGAGAACGTGCAAACTCCATGCTGGAAATTACGTCAGACCGTAAGTTACCACCCAATGCGTTTCGTCATAGGAAGTGACGTCATCAGGAGCTCAGGCTTGGAGTGGGACTGTCTCTTTATTATTCATTGGCACCTAGCTGCATATATTTTGGACACTTATGTGGGACATCTGTTATATAGATGCTTGCACATGCTCCATGCACATAGTGTCCTGGTCAAGATTCAACCTAGGAACCCAGTACTGCAAGGCATAAAGGGCTGACCACCAAGTCATTGTGCCACCCAATGCTAACCCTTAATAACATCTAAAAGTGTCTTATATATTGTCTGTGCAATCTCTTTAGCTTGCCTGTGCTACATCAAGTGTGTGCTAATCCTAGCTTCTAGAAATCCTGGCATTTCGGGCTGATACTGTAACTTTTTTTTTTTTTAAAACATATTCATAATAGTCTATTATTTATTAAAGCTTTTGTAAGCACAGCTATCTGCTCCTTTAGGCTCCTTGCACTCAGGGTCATCTATCTGCAGTACGTCTTTCCTGGTGTTTTATGGCATCGGGGAGGTACAGGTGCTGGTCAAAGTCTATGGCGGGGCGGCACTGCCCGAGGGCCCGGGGTCAGTAGGGGGGCCCATAACATGCCCCTGGTACCTTTTATATGCTTTTTTGGGTGTGTTTTGAGTGTGGGCCCCATGAGCCCCAATTACCCGGGGGCCCCATGAGTTGCCAGTCCGTCCCTGGTCTATGGCAGGCTGTAGTTGGATAGGGCTGAATGCTGTACTGAATGGTACTTGCATCTAGGGACCTATGTGTTCAGGGACGAATGCCCAGAATGCAGAAGGCCAGACACGGGTGGGACACATTGCAGCTAGATGGCCTGATGTGGAAGGGGACCTTATAGTGCCACAAAGAGGCATCAGGACATTAAAGAACGTTCAGATAGGCAGATTTCAATAGTCATCCACCTATGTGTTTACTGTGGATTTTTACTTTTACTTTATGATGGTGTGGGGTCCTATCAGAAGTTTGCTAAGGGGTGCTGTGATTTCTGGTTATGCCCCTGAGCCAACATTTTCAACTGTTAGGCCTTATTCACATGGGGTGATGCAATCTGTGCCCTGTGCAGGGCCATGTTTACCAGCACGAGCATGCACAACTGTCCATTGGGATGCAGCAACTGCATTGACATAGCCGATTTTCATGTGGTCACAGGTGCATGCCCCCAAACTCATCCTGGGTGCGTTGGGGACTGAGCACCCATAGCTAAACAGATGTCACATTGGGAGCTGTGTCCATGCAGCTGCTGCATCCCAATAGACAGCCATGGGAGTGCTGGCACGGGGAAGCACCCAACACATGTGCATTCCCATGTCGGTCAAACACGGCCCTGCGCACGGCATTGATCAAATTCCCCTGTGTGAATGAGACCTTAGCCTTTTCTATAGAGAATTGTATTGCTAGGCCTCTTTTATCTGTTTGTACAATTTTGCTTTTAAAAACTTGCTTTTAAAAACTGAAAATTGCTGTGTGTATGACTATTGTTAGGGTCCTTTAAAATAAGGGATGGAAGTGTAGCCATCAGCTCTTGAGCTATCAGAAAACAAAACACCTGTGTGAAATGATGCAGTTAGGCTGTATTCGGGTGATACATATGAATGTAGCCTTAGAAGTTATTATTTTATATATATTTTCTGACCTGTGGGCTCTCATACTAGGATTGGCAAAGTGAGATATATAAATATCGGATTAAAATGTCTGACATACAGTATCTGCTGGGAGGGGGGAAAGGTGGCCATAGATCATTTTTGGAGGTGGATGGAGGAATCCTCTCCGCTGTGTTATTGTATTCTGAAAGCGGGGACTCCTCCACTGTCAGAATACACTGATCAGCGCTATAGCCAATTGGGATGCAATAATCTGCTGATTGAATGAAAATTTTCCAACAACTCTTTTCGACAAAAAAACTCAGTCATTAAATTAACTTCTGTTCAGTGGGAATCACCACAGATGAGTCAAATTTGGCCAGTTGAGCAGGGACCAGCCAAATTTCTATCTATCTATGGCCAGCTTTAGAAGGAGGGAGAAGAAGTCATGCTTGAATTATTCAGATTTGTGTGTAAATTACAGCTTGAACTATTGAGCTCTGTAAATAACATTCTTTACTTGCTTAGGAGTCCCTATAATGATGTGCAAAGGAGCAAAGGGTTCCACCTGTTGAGTGAACAGAAAAAAAATTAAATATTAATATGCAATGCTAAATATTGACTTGGCTAAAAGAATATATGGTTTTATAATTTATTTTATATCCTTGGTCATACTAAATTATAAAATATGTACAAAACCACTATAACATCCCTTAAACTATCAGCAAAGCCGACTTCAAACTAAGTAGTTTGTTTTTGGGAACTACTTCAAGGTCTTCCTTATAGTTTTCCATATGAACATCCTAATTCCAGTAACAAACCCCATAGTTCTGGTTGCACAATCTACACAACTGAATCTAATTTGTGTCCAACCATCTGGTGTCAATGCAACACTTACTAGTGATAAAAGAGCATTTGCTGGGAGACCCTGACTGGTGATAAAAGAGAGCTGTGCGGCTTAAAACAAATGAAAAATTTGTCTCTACTACTGCCAGCCTGCTAGTGACCTGACTGCCATGCTGACGGTTTCAATACTTAGTAACCAGGGGCGGACTGACCATTTGGAAACTCGGGCTCTGCCGAGGGCCCAGGGTCATTAGGGGTCCCATGAGATGCCCCTGGTACCTTTTTCATAGGCTTTTTTGAGTTTGGGCAAGGACACAGGGGCCCCATGATCCCCTATTGCCCGGGGGCCCCATGAGTTGTCAGTCCGCCCCTGTTAGTAACTGATATATAAAAAGTGAGCGCTCATGTTGGTAATCGCAGTAAACCTTATAAAATGACCAAGTATGTAAAGTGCAGCGCTGAAGGGAGTAAAATCGTTAAAAATAGTTTCCAAAATAAATGAATAGTTCATAAATGATAATTATGTTGATCCACTTCTATAGCATCATTCCAGGACAGGTATTAGAGCAGGAACCAATGATAGAATTGCGCACTCACCGGACGCGCATGGATAATGCGCATAAGATCAAAATCCACCAGAATCTTTATAGTTAAAATGGCCGCCGGGTATCCACTCTGATGATGTGCTTGGGCACGAAAGGCCTTAGGAAGAACCGACAGAGCATGACGTCATATCCGCCCGGAGCCACGAGGTAGCCCGGCGGCCATTTTAACTAAGGGGTCAGTATACTGCTGCACACTCTGCAATAATAATACAGAAATTGAAGCCTTACGATACTACCCTGTATTTATTTATTTTCTACTCAATAAATATTCTTACCTACTACACTATGGGTACCTCTTTCTTGTCTCTGGTTGGAGCTAATTAACTCGCAGGACACCTGTAGTCTGATCCACTATCACCAGAGGGAGGGAGCCCTGTATCCAGGCTGAGCACCAAGCCATCCTTAAGGGGACCTCTGGACCTAATATTATACTCTCCAAGGCAGGACGATCCATAGATGGAAGCTCACCCATTCCGCCTACCATAAAGATTCTGGTGGATTTTGATCTTATGCTCATTATCCATGCGCGTCTGGTGAGTGCGCAATTCTATCATTGGTTCCTGCTCTAATACCTGTCCTGGAATGATGCTACAGAAGTGGATCAACATAATTATCATTTATGAACTATTCATTTATTTATTTTGGAAACTATTTTAGCGATTTTACTCACTTTAACGCTGAACTTTATATACTTAATACTTAGTAACTGAATTGGAAAATGTATGACGATCGAGCATGATGTAGAACAGTCAGAAGGTTTTATTTGTATACTTCTGAGTATTTTTACCATAGGGTAAGCATGACAGTCAGGCAACTAGCTTTTCAGTTTTTGTGCATACCAGATATTCTCAGGAATGCCAACACCCAAACAACAACTTATCCTCAGATACACCAGCCCCCACTTACCCACTGTGCACCACCTCTGACACACCAGCCTCTATTTACTCAAAGACACATCAGCTCCCAGATACCCTCAGACACACCAGTCACCTCATACCACCAGACACACCAGTCCCCTCATACCCTCAGAGAGGGTCGTGGATAAGGGGGTACCACCAGTCCTCCTGTATGGGGCCCAGGTCGGGCAATTACTGGAACTGATTCCCTGTATGGCTCTCTCTGCTGCAGCTAAAAGCTGGCTTCTTAACCTCTCTTTCCAGGGGATCAGTTCCAATAATTGCCCCCACCGCCACACCCATTACCCTTCCTCTGCACTATAGGTGCACCTCCTGCTGCTCAGGTCCCCCTGTGTGCTCCCACCCCCACAGTGCTGCAGGCTACTCTCCTACAAAGTATTAGTTTAAGGGTGTGCACACTTCTGCAACCATATTATTTTAGTTTTTTTTATTTTTACTTCCCTCCACCTAAGTTGTATAATTTCTAGGTTACATTAAATGTGGAAAAAGTTCTGAAATTATTTATCTTTGTCTCATTTTTTTACATCACAGAAACCTGACATTTTAACAGGGGTGTGTAGACTTTTTATATCCACTGTATAATACATTTACCAATTATAGTGACCCATTTATGCTGACTTAAAGGGTTAGTTCATCTGTACAAAAAACTGTCTTTGTAGAAAAGGGGTGTCTGTGGATAAAAAACAAACTGTGCACGCCTACTCATTACTGCTCACCTTCACCATCACATGCTCTTTGTCTCCCCTCATACAGTAGCTCTAAGCTCAGTGTCTGAGAGCTCACTGCTGTGATGGTGGAGGTGAGCAGTAATGACTAGGCCTCATTTAGCAACATCCTGGGAATATTCCATACAGACTGCATGAGGTACATAAATGGCCTACACCGATACCAAGGGCATTATTCAACTTTAGTCACAGCTGCACAGTTTAATTTTTTATCTATAGACACCAGCTATCTGCATAGGCAGTTTTTTGCTTGGAATGGGACACAAAAGGACCCAATGCCCCCAGACACAGCATAGCCTGATACCCCCATACACAGCAGGCCCCAATACCCCCATACACAGCAGGCCCCAATACCCCCATACACAGCAGGCCCCTGATACCCTCAAATACAGCAGGCCCCGATACCCTCAAATACAGCAGGCCCCGATGCACTCAAATACAGCAGGCCCCGATACCCTCAGACAAAAAAGGGCCCAATACCCCCAGACACAGCATAGCCTGATACCCGCAGACACAGCAGGCCCCTGATACCCTCAGACACAGAAGGGCCCAATGCCCCCAGACACAGCATAGCCTGATACACAGCATAGCCTGATACCCTCTGACACAGCAGGCCCCCGATACCCTAAGACACAGCAGGCCCCGATACCCTCAGATACCCCCGATACCCCCAGACACAGCAGGCCCCGATACCTCAGACACAGCAGGCCCCGATACCCTCAGACACAGCAGGCCCCCGATACCCTCAGACACAGCAGGCCCCCGATACCCTCAGACACAGCAGGCCCCTGATACCCTCAGACACAGCAGGCCCCGATACCCTCAGACACAGCAGGCCCCCGATACCCTCAGACACAGCAGGCCCTGATACCCTCAGACACAGCAGGCCCCTGATACCCCCACAGACACAGCAGGCCCCATGATACCCTCAGACACAGCAGGCCACCTGATACCCTCAGACACAGCAGGCCCCATGATACCTCAGGGAACAGCAGTCCCCTGACATCCACCAACACTACAGGCCCCTGATACCCCCATGCACTTTGAAATCTGGTTGTCTGTTTTGGGTTACTCTAAATTAATGCTCCCTATTCCTTTATAAACGTTTCTAGGTAAATTAATATTGTATGCCCAGATAGTAAAATAACTTTGTAAATAGTATTTGTTCCGCACTTTGTGTCATTCTGCTTGTAGATTTTCTGCCGGACCCGGTCACAAATGTTCAGATTTAGCCTGTTGCTATGTGGTAACCATGGAAACAAAGAGGTGCTGTGTGCACACTCCGTAGTGCCTTTAATCCCCCACAGCAGATCATTGTCTGACTTTTTATAGCTATGTAAGAAGAATGTCAGTGACACTTTCTTTAGAAGGGCGACAAGGCTCCCTGCCCTACCAGGTGTTGTCACCCTTGCACAGCAGAATGACTGTTATACATCACCATGTCCTGTAATACTGCCCGTCCAATAAGCGCCCTCTTTTTTGACTGACAATGATTCTGGATCTCCACCAATCAGGGCTTTTCTTAGCCTGGGTTCACACTGATGTGGTGCGCATCATAATCGCACCCCGTTCACACGAACCATTGCGGGCGTGTATTTTAAGTTAGCAACACCCCGAAATCAGTTCGCAGAACGCGTTACGATGTGCAAAATCGGATCGCATGGGTGTGAACATCCATGCGATCCGATTATAGTGCGGACCAAAAAAAGGGTCCTGCACCTTTTTGGTGTGAATATGGTGCGATTTGAGCCATACAAAATGTATGGCTCAAATCGCACCACACAGAATTCGCATGTGATTTGCAAAGGAATGCAGTGCGGTTCCTGTGTGAATCACATGCGATATGCCGCACCGCACAAGTGTAAACCCAGGCTTGTGATGAAGGAAAAGAATGTTCTCCTGTTGTCGCTTCCCCCCCAGCCTTTGACAGCAGCGACAGGGATAGTGATCACATGACTACTATAGGTATTTTTAAACCCATCAGTCTAATGCCCCGTACACACGATGAGAATATCGGACGAACGATCGGCCGTTTTTTTTCGCCTGCTAGTCTCATATCAAAAGGGAAAAGGTTACTAAAGATATGAAAATTCTCCTTTGAAAGAAAAGAAATTCGAAAGTGATGTCATGTATTGCGTTGTATTTGTATTGCATTTTAAAACGACTACTGTACTGATTATACGAAAATCGTGCAATCTGGTGTCGTACAAGAAACATTTTTGCGCTTGTCCCTTCGGATATTGTCGTACGAATTGTCGTGATCGGCTCTCGAAAGCTGTGTACTGACGACTCGATTATCGGACGATCGGTCCTCGTACGAACATTTTTGTACGATTTTCTTATAGTGTGTACGAGGCATTACAGTTCCCAAAATAGTTACATTCAAGGAATGTCTTGAATGATAACTGTCACAGTTGCTTGTGCTCTCAATCGAACTTAAGCCATTAAATGACTGTTGTCATAACTAATCACATGTGCAGCACCATGCAGATCTAACCAAGGCTAAGATGGCAGCTTCCTTGGCTGTAAAGGATAGGAGGCTTTTGTTCCACTTTTGTTTTTATTTTCTTTGGCAGTTGCTTATCAGCATGTAAACTTGTTCATTTCACTACTTCATGAATGCTTATGCTTTGGGTTTATATCTGTGTTATTCCGTTCCGTCGTTTGGGGACTGATACGGTAAATTTAAAGTGAGCAGAAGAAAAGGGGTGAGCCAGGTCAAGAGTTGCTTAACAAAGGAGGCGGAGCTTCTGAAACGTGTTGCAGCCCCGCCCACCGGCCATTCAAGGCACCTGTCATGGTACCTGTCAACCTCTCCACTGCTTGGCAGGAATTTTGAATGGACACCGCTGAGCCAGCAAGCGGCTCCCTGCTTGGTCCCCCTGCAATCACTGATCCATCCACCTGAGTGACCACGATCCTGCTCCTCTGCCTCTTCCTCATTTCCACATGCCGGCTGGAGGATTTGTATATGTAAGTCTTCTGCATTAAAGCCTTTACTGTTTTATACCCAATTCTCACCTGGCGCCTCCTTTCCTCTGCTTTCCACGGCACCTGTCACCTTCTTCCCTGGCGGGAACTTTGAACATACATCACCGAGTTGCGA